CAACAACAAAGGGAAGACCAAAGAAAATTTGAATGCATTGGCATTATAGTGTTGGCCGAGAATAAGGGATACCGTATATACTCAAGTATAAGCCAACCCGAACATCAGCTGAGGCACCTAATTTTACACACAACTGCATTAAACATGTGCTGGCAAACTCGGCTTATACACAGGCACATACGGTATATTCTGAGCTGCCAGAAAAAGAAAAAAAATCTGTGTTGGTGGAAGTACAGTCAGAATGCTATTTAAAAGCTAGGATGGTGTTGCCTCCTCTCACACATTTGGAATTATGTTATCAGGAAACCAGTCTCTGGAAAAGGACATCATGATTGGCAGTGACGAAGGCATACACCTGAGACGAGATAGGCTGACACAATGTCTACAACAAGGATTCAAACGCTAACAAGTGTGAAGATGGTGCAAGACCGGCTAGTGTTTCCTTCTGCTGTGCCTGAGTCAGAACCGACTGAGCACCAAACAAGGGCAACATTCTTACTCAGGTGCATACAGGGCCTTCAAAAAGGTTTGTGGAAAAAGTCCAATAGCACCTAATTCTAGTTTTCCGTGAACTTTTTGAAGACCCTGGCATTCCCTTACCTAGTCTACATTGGCCTGACTTTGAAGCCAGAGGGTTCAAAATTCCATTTCTTGGATATTAGAATGGTAATATACATATGCAGTATCCTTCCTACAATCTTTTGGGGGGTCAGTACTCTAAAATCAAACACATTAATACTCCTGCATGAAACCTACCATTATTTATATTTATAGCCAGATGGAAAGACAGACTATAGATATGTAGATTATAAATAATCTATATTCTGCCAGGTCAAATGTTAACCACCAAATAAGTTTTTTGGTTTTTTTTCAGATGGTAATACTTTAATTAAAGAAAAAACCTCCCCAGTACAGGACTCCGTAAACACTGGTGTATGAACAAGTGCAATGTTAAAGTAAATACACAGTCAAGAGGCAAACGCTACAGGGATTTTGCCTTTACGAGGAAATGGCATGTCCTGCAGAGGCTGTCCCACCCCAGCACAGACCCAGGGGAACATATTTTAAAACCATGGTTAGATGCCACAAAGTAGGTGGCAATGCCTTAACCGTATGCATTTTGTAAGGCCCAAGGGCCTCTTCCATCCTTGTCAAGGGGAATGCTAAGCACCTCTCCTTTCATACAACACCACCGAATTAGTTTTAAGCTTTGTTTTCAGAGCTTTCATATAAAGAATTGTGAATAACAGATGATAGAATGAACTTGCAAAGAAAGTTCAATTTCACCTAATAGTAGTAAATTCCATACATCACTTCTTTTCCTAACTTCCCTAACTAACAAATAAGCAACAAATTGGACTGCTAACCAAAAGATCAACAGTTCAAACCTACCAATAGCTCCTCAAAAGCATGATGAGGCTCTAAAGTCTGGGAAGTACAAAGAGGTGATTCTTCTCTGTCCAGAGGTAGCTGTGCATCAGAATCCAATCGATGGCAGTGTTTTGGGGTTTCTTAACTAATTCATTTTCTTCTGGTGTTTCTTTGACTATTGTAATGCAAGTTTTAAAATAAACTAAGGCTATTCACCCTAGCCGTTTTTTCACAAAAGAAAAAAAATACTTAAAATTTTAAATTGTACATACTTGTTTTTCCATTTTTATTACATAATTTTCACACTTACATAGCAAGAAAAAGCACATATAATTTTATTTCAATAAAGCAAATAACCAGTGGTAAGAAATACTTCCACATAACTTACAGGTGTTACAAATCAAAGTGTCTTGTATTTTAAGACACTGAAAATTGTAAATAAAACCATAATCCCCTTTTCCCATCAACAGCAGTCCTAAATTAACAGTTTACCCAAGCCTGAATTCCACAGGTTATTATGACAACTGGGGAAGGGGAGGAGCAGGTACTCAGTCTCTGAAACAGTTGTATGAATGTAAGTAAAAACCCCAAAGCACGGATCTTTAAAAAGGCTTCTCCCCACTTTAAAATGTGATTCTTTTTACCATATTATTTTGGTAAATAGTACGAGGAGTGGAGTCTTGACAACACAGCACATTCATGCAAAATTTTCAAACAATGCCAAAGTATACTACTGAAGAACCTTTCCAAAAATATATCACAGAAGCAAATCTCTCTCCCACTCCATTTTTAAATAATACCAAGCAATGTACAATTTGAAAAACATAAAAGGAATATATTCTCTGCAGATTAATTTAAGGGCCCATGTCAGGCAAAGAGCCACTCTAGAGAAACAAGATAATTTAGACTACTCCAATACAACGTTGGAACTTCTCTGAATCCAGTTTATCTATGATGGGTAATTATCAGAACTTTTCTAACACAAATCCTGATAGTACTACAAAATTATGTATCACAAAACAGTTCTCTAAAGCAATGTTCTTTCTAAGAAAGGAATTAACTAACAATATGCTAGGTGCACAGAGACTTGAACCAAATTTAATGAGCATTACTTTGTCACTGCTGAGATAACTCAGTTAACAGTTTTCCCCATAAATGAAGGTTTTCTTTTCTAAGCCAACCCTTCTGAAGGTATTATACAGTAACTCCTGAGGAGTACAGTATAAGTCATCTCATTACGTTTGCCATCTTAAGTGATAATTTTTATGGTAAGTGTTGAGTTCCTTTCTGAGTTTGATGTTTAAAGTAATTTGAGTTTTATAACCATGTTTCTATTACACTCTATTACTTGCTTGTTCTGTTAAAGACAAAATATTTATTTTCTATAGTAAAACCTACCAATTATCAACCGTGCAATGCAGCCTAAGTTTTAAGGTTTCAAATCTTTAAAATACCAGCCATTAATGTATTAGTATTTTGAGGAATATTCTACTATTTCATGAAGTGGCACTATATTTTAAATGCATTTATTATGGCATATTAAAAAAAATGTTCTGCTCATCAAGTGGCAAACCAAACATCAAGAGCCTCACTCCAAAGTTAAAAATAAGGCAATTTCTGGCTAGGTCAGACTTACTGCACCTCACAGCCACAATAGTTTATCAACTACAGAGAGCAAAAACAGACTGTCACGTCAGCAGCAGCTGATGTCCACACACATACCAGGATACTAGGTCACCTTAACGCAAGTGTAGGGTTATAGCTGCCTTGGTGCTGTGGGGTACCCTCAGGACAAGCTCACCTCATAGAGACCACATGTGACAAAGTAGGACTCCCACCACCCAGTCGACCTTTACTTGTGCGGATAACGATGACCTGCTCTTGCAGTAACGAAATAGGTTCCAACTGCCAACCTTCTGGTTAGCAGCCATCCCCTAAACATCGATCGCACCATCAAGAACTACTTTCTGGCTGTATTAGGCAGTCAATAAATGAATGGACTAAGTTGTTTACTGGGCATAGGTAATGATTCCTTGGGAATAAAAAGCCTTTATTTTAATGATTTATAAAATACTCTAATAAAACAGACTGCTTGATCATATTACAGGCATAAATAGCTTAGGCTGAAGCTCAGAATAACCCTAGTAACTATGCTTAACATCACTAAATAACTAAGAGATGAAAGTGAAGTGTACAACATCTCTATCCAGGATTGACTATGAACTGATGAATACTTGAAATTTGCTGTGCTATTTTTAACTGAACTTTCTGGCCTTAGGTCAATGTTTTGCCAGCAAAATACCAAAGCGTTAACTGCTGGGAGTGAAGCCGGGCGTCTCTGCTGTGGCCTGGGAAAGGCTATGCCCTGCACGCAATCCACCGATCCTACCTCCGACGGAAAAACTCTTTTAAAATGTTAGGACGGCATGAGAACGCAGGGGAAAACTGGCCAGAGACTGTCCAACACCTCTGATGCAACAGAGTGCACTACATTCTCTATATCATACGGAAAACAACTCTCTCTCTCTCTCTCTCTCTCTCTCTCTCTGCAGTTAGCTCTTGCACTTTGGCCAAACAGGACTGAGTCACTCTGCAAATGATTCCAGAAACCTCAAAGGAGAACCAACTTTGGCCTCTGAAGTCACCGTCACTGGAAAAAGGGAGGAGACGCCGGTTTCCTCCTCGAACAGTCACTGGTCCACCCGACTGAGAGGCGAACGGACCATCTAAGTTCTTGGGCAGAACACTGAAAGATTCCCTGAACCGGAGGCCCCGACCCTCGCCCTCCAGGGCCAGTCTGAGATTCACAATAGCTTTTTCACTTTCTCCCCCTCTGGGGGTAAAAGCGCCGCCACATCCCTTTTCCCCCCTTCTCCACTGCACACGAATGACACTGTCTGATATACAACCGTCTGTCCTAACAAAGGTAAGCAATCAGCAAACCCCGCAGAGTGCATTTCTACTTTCTAACGCGGGCAGGCTCTGGTCTTAATCGACAACCACCGCCTCGCAGTCGTTGGCGGGTCGTTCACTAGGATTCCCAGGGCCGCCCGAGGCAGGAGATTCAATGGAGGAGACATTCGCTCCAAGAGCCGGACCGACGCCTAACGTTCAACTCGGGTGCAACAATCGAAGGCAATTAAATGAGCAGACATTGAAAAGAGCGATATCGCAACGCGGGCTGCTGTTTAAAGGCGCCTGCGGACCGGACCGGAGCGCTAGCTCCGTCTGTGCCCCAACCGGCTCGGGCTGAACGGAGCGAGCGCGGCGGCTCAGGCCCCCGCGGGCGGCTGGCTCCCTTGCTCGCACCCCAGTCCCCACGCGGCATGTCACTTCCAGATCCGCCAATCCCGCCCGACCTCCCCATTCCCAGCGAGGGCGCAGGGCGCGGGGGCCCCGGCTCCGGGAGCTCCAAGGGGCCACCCAGCGGACCGCTGCCGTCCGCACTCGGTCGCAGAAGCGCTGGCCCCCGGGCCCGGGCCGCCGGAAGCCGGGCAGGGTGGGGCGAGCTCTCCGCCAGCCCAACCGACGGACGGACGGACGCACGGGCGGGCGAGAGTGGGCGAGACCGGGGGAGTTCAGGTGAGAACACGGAACGGCGAGGGACCCCCGGGGCCCCGATCACCTACCAGCAAGCTCTCCACGTTGATGGGGGACCGGGGGTCTCGGATCAGCGCCTCCAGCTTCCTCTGGCGGCCCGCGCCGGCCCCGTCCCCCGGCACAGCCTCCGGGGCCCCGGGCA